CTGGAAATTAAAATTCACACACAGAATTACTAGAGGCAACAGCAATAATCAAAAGATGAACATTTATTATTAAGTAAGGACACCCATGGACAAAATACAAGACAAATTGAATTTATTTGGGTGAATACAGTATAGTTTACAATATTACATTTAAACTCGTTTAACAAGTATTTTAAACATAAAAATTGTAACATTTAAAAGTAGCATTTTAATTCTCTGTAATCGCTTTTCACCGAAATAGTGCTAATTCTCATGCCGGTGTGTCGCTGAAATCTGAGCTGGTGAAGGGCTGCTGTTCATAGCTGAAAGATGCCATGACTGACTCCAAAACCTGCCCATAAACAAACAGTACTGATATTAGAGAACATATTTTAACATCAAATTAACTTAAGCTCAGTACTATAACGAATAAAATCCATTTATGTTATGCAAGGCAAAAACATTTCCATCATGCAAAGTGACCACTGCTGACTGACATCTCGTCCTTATGTTGTGTTGCGTAAAATAATACAATTTACAGCACAGTAAAGACTTTATAAATTAAATAAAATGTATACAAACCTTTATTTCGCTGAAGAAGTGCACCAAATCAGCGGCGCTGAGAACCGCTCTCTCCTAGAAGACTCAAAAAGCCCACGCTCTGACTGCAAGTCAGCAGCTGGGTTGTTTCATCGGAGACAGGGTCAAACCAGTGGTTGGGTAAGAAAAAATAACCCAGCGTTAAAAATGACCCAGCAACTTAATTACAGGAAAAACTACCCAGCACCTGGGTAAAAATATTAAAATATTAAAAACAACCCAATAAAATGACCCAACGAGCTGAACCCAGCATTTGGGTTAAAAAATAACCCAGCATTTTTTAGAGTGTATGTATGTACACTAAATTGCCAAAAGTATTGGGACACCCCCTTCTAATGATCAGGTTTGACTACTTTAGTCATTTACATGAGTACAAATCTTAAAGTTTAAGCAATAATATTCTAGGGAATTGTGTTATTCTAATTTCAACCCAGCATTTGGGTTAAAAAATAACCCAGCATTTTTTAGAGTGTATGTATGTACACTAAATTGCCAAAAGTATTGGGACACCCCCTTCTAATGATCAGGTTTGACTACTTTAGTCATTTACATGAGTACAAATCTTAAAGTTTAAGCAATAATATTCTAGGGAATTGTGTTATTCTAATTTCATAGCAACAGTTTGGACAGGACCCTTTTCTATTCTAACATGACAATGCCTCTGTGTATAAGGCAAGGTTCAAAAAGAAATGATTGATTTAAATGTAAATTAGCATGACAAACAACAACTTCCTTCAACAAATGGTTGCAGAATTATGAGGATTGTTATAGCACCACCTAGTGCTAAAATTTGAGAATATTTTGTGCGGCTTGTCATTACCCTGTTCTAATTCCCCCGTTTGATTACGCACAGCCAAGTAGGCCTACCCATTAGTAGAAAAGTGAAAGCACTTGTTTACTCTAGACAAACATTTGTGTGTCTTTTTTTATTGCTGAAGTGTGTTGAAATTTCTTCTTCTGCATTCTACACCGTGAACCTTATATTCATAACTTTGCAGGCTTGGATCAATAACATGGAGTGGCAGTACGATCAGTTTTGTGGAATTGACGCAGTTCCAGCAACAAAAGATATGTTTTGGACTCCAGATATTATTATCAAAGAAAGGTATTATATATATATATATATATATATTTTTTTTTTTATTATTTATTTATTTTTGCTGAATTTTCTTGTTGCCTCTTTTTTGCCACTTTCATTTATAGGGTTAGTACTGAGAGAATGAGAAATTATGTTTAGAAGAAGGAAAAATTATATCAGGAAATGAAATTTAAACAAATTAAAATAAAATAAAAACACTTCTGATCAGTGCTTAGACTTCAGATGTGATCAGTGAATCAGACATTTCATGATGATATTATAGACTTTAGATGTGATCAGTGAATCACACATTTCATGATGATATTAATCAACTGTCAATATCACCTGGTGTTTATTCTGTCTTGACTTTTTCTGATTCAGTTACAAAAATAACAAACCAGGGAGGACAAGTTAAATTTGTGTGGGTCCCAGCGCACATAGGAGTGAAGGGGAATGAAAGAGTGGACAAGGTCGCAAAGAAGGAAAATGTAGAAATGCAAATAAGAATCAGTAAAGCAGAAGTGAAGTGCATAATCTGGCAAAAAAATTAACCACAAGTGGCAAGAAATGTGGGATAATGAGGGGAAAGGGAGACATCTATACCATGTTCAAAAGAGTATCAAAGTAAATGAGATAGGAAGTGGAAACGGGAAAGAGGAAATTGTATTAACAAGATTAAGGTTGGGACATTGTGCTCTAAATAAAACATTAAAAAATGGCAGGGAAACATCAGACCGGTCTGTGTGGGGAGTGTCAGGAAGAGGAATCAGTGGAGCATGTAATTCTACATTGTAGGAGATACCAGAGGCAGAGAGAGATAATGGAACATAACCTGAAGGAGGTAGGGGTGCAGAAATGTACTTTAAAAACAACCCTAGGTATGAGTGATAGAGCACAAATAAGAGAACTATTAGTTTTTTTAAGGGAAACTGGGCTTTATTATAGGATATGATGGTAAGGAAGGAAGGGTAATTACTGGGTATTTTGTATTTGTGGAATTGGGGGGGGGGGGGGG